AGGGGCAGTTGTTTCCAACCCCTGGCCTAGATGGGTAAGACACTGGTAGGCAGGATAATTGCCTCACCCAAAGATGTCCGCATTTTCCCTAATCCCCGGAACCTCTGCATGTTACCTTACATGCTGTCTTAGTTATCTAGTGCTGCTGTAACAGAAATACCACAAGTGGGTGGCTTTGACAAACAGAAATTTATTTCCTCACAGTTTAGGAAGCTAAACCTGTTGCCGTCAAGTCAATTCATCGAGTCAATTCCGACTCATAGTGACCCTATAGGACGAATAGAACTGCCCCCATAGGGTTCCCAAGGGACACCTGGTGGGTTTGAACTGCCGACCTTTTGGTTAGCAGCCGTAGCACTTAACCACTACGCCACCAGGGTTTCTGTTTAGGAGGCTAGAAGTCTGAATTTAGGACACTGGCTCTAGGGAAAGGCTTTCTCTCTCTGTCAGCTCTGGAGGAAGGTTCTTGTCTCTTTTCAGCTTCTGTTGCTCGGCTCCTTGGTGATCTTCATGTGGGCGTGGCATCTATCTTCCCCCATGTCAGCTTGCTTGCTCTTACTGGTTTAATCTGCTCGTTTACATCTCAAAACAGATTTAGTTAAGACACATAGTTAAGACAAAAGAGATTTAGTTAAGATCCCATATAGATAGAGCATAATGCTTAAGGCAGACATTTTTTAAACTAATTAAGCTAAACTATTGTTTGGTTTTAAGAAGACTTCAGGGGATATTTTTGGTTTAAAGTTTACCTCAGGGCAATAGTTTCAGGGATTCATCCAGCCTCCATAGTTTTTAGAAAGTCTGGATTCCATGAGCGTTTAAAATTCTGCTCTATATTTTCCCCCTTAGATCAGGATTCTTCTATAGAATCTTTAATCAAAATGTTTAATAATGGTATTGGCTGTGATCTTTAAGGAAGCAGATCACCAGGCCTTTCTTCCATGGCACTCCTGGGAGAGTTTGAACCCCAACCTTTAGGTTAGTAGTTAAGCATGAACCATTAGCACCACCCAGGGATATTAATGTAATCACAGGAATCCTTATAAGTGAAAGAGGGAGGCAGAAGAGTCAGAGAAGGAGATGTGAGGATGGAAGCAGAGGCTGAAGTGATGGGATTGCTGGCTTTGAAGGTGGAGGAAGAGGCCAGAAGCCAAGGAATAGGGGCAGCCTCAAAAGACTGCAGCAGGTGAGGAAACGGATTGTCCCCTCAGAGCCTCCAGAAGGAACACAGCTCTGCTGACACTTTGACTTTAGCCCAGTGAGACTGATTTTGGACTTCTGACCCCCAAAACTGTAAGATAATAAATTTGTGTCGTTGTAAGTCACCAAGTTCAGGGCAATTTGTTACAGTAGCGATAGGAAACCAGTACAGGCACTGACTCAGGATCTGTAGGCCTAGGCTCTGCCGCCCATAGCTGTTTGGCCATGGACATGCTACTTTTCCTCCATGGGCCTCAGTTTCCACATCTGTCAAATGTGGATAATAGGATTGACCTCACCAAGCTATAATGATGAAATGAGGCAAACCAGGTAACATTTTAGAAGATGACTGGTACATGGCAAACGGTTAATAAAATAGGGGGTATCAGTACTTTTCCTGTTATTATCTTGCAACGTTGTTACAGAGATTCAGGAAGCTCCAGTCCTGCAGGCCTTGGACCAGACTCACTTAGCAGAAACTGTTAATATTCGCCACACCACACCCTCCATCCCTACTCCACTAACTCATAATGAAAGCTAATGGAATCCATCAGATGACAGTACCAATGTTCCCACTGTATTTCCTGGGAGCCCGCAAGGCCAGGCTCTGAGCCAAGCCTATGCCAGGCGCCCCTCTCTGCATCCTTATTTAAGTTCACACAGCCCAGACATGGCCCAGCTGTCCCACCTGCAGCCCCCAAACCTACAGGCTCAGCTCTCCTCTCCTTTCTTGAGAGAGTAGTTTGAGATACCCCCAACGTGATCCCCCTTCCCCAGCCAGGCACTGTCATACCTCTGCTCCAGTACCTTCAGTGGCTCCCACTTACCCATCAAACCTGGAATGGAGATCAGCCACAAGCCGCTTCCTTCCCTTGAGCCTCAGTTTTCCTCGGCTGTATAATGGGTTGATGATGTGACCTCCACTGTGGGTACAGAGCACTGAGCCAGGGTCTGAAAGGTGGTGAGCGTTCTTCATCAGCACCAGCCATTCTTACGTGGCCTGTCCCGACTCTGCCAGTCTGGCTGCCATTCCAGTTGGCACAGGAAACTTCCGGTGCTCCCTTATCTCTCCTCCCACCTGCCTTACCAGTCAGTCTTATCTCCTGTCAGATGGTAGAAATTTTCTTCGGTGTCTCTCATGCTTGTAATAGTTTGGGGTTTTACATAGTTGCATGATTAATCCAGGTAGTATTTATTTTGCTGTCTGGTTAAGTTTTCTTCCAAATGTCCAGTGAGGGCTACTGGCTGAGGATTTACTCTTTCCTATCTAACTGGAAATTCCACCTTTATCGGGGAAGTCATTGTGGAGTTGGTGGTTCCAGCCCTGAGTCTGCACGAGTGTCCCCAAAGGGCCGCATGTAGAGACCAGGGCCTGCTCTCCTGTCCACTGTGCGGACTGGGTGGGGTGGAACCAGCTGGCCTTTAGGCTGGCAGGGACTCCAGAACCACAGGGTTTATTTGGGAGTCCTGGTCACCCCAGGGCATGGCTTGGAGCCTTGGGCCTCGCCTGTTTGCTAAAGCCTGTGGCCCACGGATCAGGCGGGGCCTCCTTGGCTGCAGGCCACTGGGGAAGAAATGGTGTCTCTCTGGGGACAAGTTCAATTAGTGGCCAGACCACCATCTGGGCAGTGCTCGACTCTGAGGTAGCACGTACAATTGTTGAGCACCAGCTGTAGATGACCATGCTGGCTGTATAACCCTTTGATGACCATATGCCCCACATTGAATGTATACTTCTGCTGGTTGTACACTGCCCCCCCCACCGACTGTATAACATCATGCCAGCTGGACAGTCAACTCTACTGCAAAGTATACAACTGGCCTCAAAAGACTATTGGGAGATGCAATGAGACTAGGCACAGGATATCAGGGGGTATACAGTCAACGTGGGAAGGATGGTTGGTGTGAAGGTATACAGTTGGTGTGGGGCATTCATTCTGCATGGGGCTGTGCAGTCGGTATTGGGGTACAGCCAGCCAGCCATATGCCCTGTGCTGATTGTATACTCCACACCAGCTGTATGACCCCACACTGACTGGACACCTCACTCCACATTGATTCAACACCCTATGGCAATCGTTCATCTCAGGTGGACTGTACCCCTCCACACTGACCGTATAATGCTACCCTGACTATACACCCTATGCTGGCTATATCCCCATACCCCCTCATCGATTGAACACCCCCAAGCTGACAAGACAGCATATCCCTTGCCAACCGCAAACCTTTTGAACTGTATACCCCCTCCTTTCGTATCCTGTGCCTGACCTTAGGGGCTAGTTTTGGTTTTATACTTTAGCTCCGTTTCATAGTTGAGGATACTGAGGCTTAGGGGAAGGTAAAGTGCTGTCCTTTGTCCTCTGGCTCAGACCTGGCAGAAGCAGCATTTGAACCCAGTCCCTGAGAAGGATGTGGGCTCCACAAGGGCAGTGACTGGGTCTGTCACTCACCACTGTACTCCACTCCCGGCCCAGGGCCTGCACCCAGTAGACACTCGGTAAATGTTCTACAGAACAATCACTTAAGGCTTAATGGTTGGGAGTGAGCGCAGGGCTGGCAAGCTCAGGTGTCGTTGGGGTCCATGAAGGTACCAGATGGGGCATTGCCAGACAGGGACGTGGTGTGAGGCTGCCAGGCAGGACCGCCAGTCCAGTTTTCAAGACTGGAGATGTAGATTTTTACGTGGAGTCTCCTAGTGTTTAACTGTTGGCAATTACTTTTTAAAAAACAGAGGTCAAAATAACCACTCATCCACTGGTTTGACGGTTTTCAGCCCCAAACTCTATGGTTGGTTGTTTGGACCCGGCCATCTGCCAGTTGTGAGGCTCTGAGGTAGCGATTTTCCACACTGTTCCTCAGTTTCTAGACCTGGAGAATGGGGCAGTATTAGGCCTCCTCCCAGGATTAGGAGGTGGTGTTCTAGGCAGTGTGGCAGGTGTACGGCGGGGTAGACGGGATCCAGGCCACCGGTTGATGCCATAGTATTTCCTGGGGCGGGGAGGGGGCGTGGAGAGCTAAATCGGGCAGGGACTTGAGTGGCGGGAGCAGCTGCCACCGCCAGGCCCGCTCCGCCCTCCCTCTGTCCGTCAGTCCCTTGGCAGTGCTCAGCTCCGGCCGGTCCGACCGGTTTCGGCCGCCCACCTGGCTCTTAGCTGGGAGGAGCCATCACTAGCCCGCCGGTCGGTGCCTCCCTCCGGACGCTGGCGCCTGCAGACCGGAGGCGGAGGAGGCGCGGAGCAGGCGGGCGCCGTGGGGCAGGGCGCCCGCAGCCATGGGGGGCGAGCAGGAGCATTACTATGGGAAGCACGGTAGGCAGCGCCCGCTCGGCCTGGCCTTTCCCTGGAGCTGGGCCTCACCCCCTTCCCGGTGGGGCCCGGACGCCTGGAGGGCTGAGAGGACCCACAGGTGGACTAGGGTGAAGGAGTGGAATTGCAGGTCTCTTCCTGAAGCCTTCACCCCAGTTTCACCCTGGAGCTGCCTCCCAGAGGTCCCTCCAAACACCTGCCCCTTGCTCGAAGGGCCTGTCCTTGTGGCCCTCTCCCCAGGACTCCTTCGGGAGGTTTCTCTCCGAGATCCCGCGTCAAACCTTCCTCTCTCGCTTGGTGGCCACCATCCCAGCCCCCTCCCCAGCGGGTGGCCCTCAGGTGATAAATAGGGCTGTTAGCAACAGTTAAGGACTCTTCCCCTTACCCTGGCCTGCTCTGGCTGGGGGCTTGGGTATGGTCCCGGAAGGGAGGTCTCCCAGCCCTGTCTTAATCCAGCTCTCGTGGCCCACCCAGCTCAATCTTGTTGATTTTCAGGAACACCACAGAAGTATGACCCCACCTTCAAAGGACCTATTTACAACAGGTAAGGGCTCTGGGATTCCTGGGGGGAGGGAGGGCCGCTAATACTGCCCCCACCCTGTTTTTTCACACCCACTCCATCTATTTTCCAACACACTGCTGATACATCTTTGCAACTTGATGAGAGGACTAATTTTTTTTAAGATACAAAGAAATCTTGTAAATGAATTTTTAAAATAGGTTGAGAAATTAGATAATTTATACAGCAAAAAATACTATAGACAGTGAATTTATGGAAAGATGCTCAACCTCACTAAAAAATAAAGTAATAAAACGATGACAAAATATAATTTCCCCATCACAGATTAGCGAAGATTAGAAATGATTTCTAATCATTTTTTGTATTCTGCTTGTAAAACTAATTGGTGTAGTCTTTTAGGAGGGAATTTGCAAATACCATAAAAAAAATTTTTTATTGTGCTTTAGGTGAAAGTTTACAGAGCAAATTAGTTTATTAAACAATTAATACATAAATTATTTTGTGACATTGGTTGCCAACCTCGAGATGTGCCAACACTCTCACCTTCTTGATTTCCATTCGTCCTGAAAATTTTTGCTGTACATCTTTTTGTTCAAAAAATTTTAATTCTAGTGAAAAAATTCTCCCAGTAAACCTTGTACACATGGACAATAATATATACTATTGCTGCCTTTTTGAAAATGGCAAAAATCAATAATCTGAATATCTATCCTTAGGAACTAGTTAGATAAATTACAATTTATCCTTAGGTTGTAATATTATCATCAGTTGCCGTCAAGTCGATTCCAACTCATAGTGACTCTACAGGACATAATAGAACTGCCCCATAGGGTTTCTAAGGCTGTAATCTTTATGGAAGGAGTCCTGGTGGCACAGTAGTTAACAGCTCAGCTTCTAACTGAAAGGCCGGCTGCTCTTCGTGAGAAAGATGTGCCAGTCTTCTCCCATAAAGATTACAGCCTTGGAAACGCTATGGGATGTTCTGTTCTGTTCTATAGGGTCGCTATGGGTCAGAATCGACTTCTACAGCAGTGGGTTTGTTTTTTTGGGTTTTAATTTTTTCAGAAGCAGACTGCCACACTTTTAGTGGCTGGTGGGTTCAAACTGCCCACCTTTTGGTTGGCAGCCAAGTGCTTAACCACTGCGCCAGGAGGGCTCCACAGCTGTTAAAAAATACAAGAACTCTTCTACATAGTGATGTGGATCCCTCTAAATATATTAAGTGGAAAAAGCAAGGCACAGAACAGTGAGTGTATTATAATCACACCTAATAAATATCCCAAAGTACTGACAAGAAATCATTAAAAATTATTTATGACAAGAGGGATTGTACAGGGAGACTTAACTTCTTTATTGTATACACTCCTGTACGGTTTTAATTTTTACTATGTTTGTATATTATCTTTTGGTAATAAAATAGTTTAAAATTTTTAAAACATTAATACCTAGTGCTGGTGAAGATGTGGGGAAATGGGTACTCTCAATCAAAAGAGAGCTGAACATTGCCCCATCTTCCTTGGAGGACACTGTAGCATTAGTTATCAAAATTGAAAATGTACATGCCCTTTGGCACAGCATTTGTACCACCCAGGAACATGTGTCCAAACAACACACGGATGCAGGTATATGTGTGGGGCAGGATGGGCCCATGATACCCAGCACCAAGGCTCCTGCTCTGACATTGACTCTGCTCCTCAGGGGCTGCACTGACATCATTTGCTGCGTGGCCCTCCTCCTGGCCATTGTAGGCTATGTGGCTGTGGGTATCATAGGTGAGTGGAAGGGACCAGACCTGAGGTTCCAGAGTGGGAGGGGACAGCCACAGCCCCTGGGGCAGGGCTGGGATTGGTGCTGAGTAGTGGAGGCACCTCACTGTTCCTGGATCCCTCTGCAGCCTGGACCCATGGGGACCCTCGAAAGGTGATCTACCCTACTGATAGCCGAGGCGAGTTCTGCGGGCAGAAGGGCACGAAAAACGCGTGAGTCTGGCTCCTTGGGGACTGGTGGGAATGGGGAGGTGGGGGCAGGAGGGTTTCCTGAACACAGGAGAGAAGGTTCTAGGTTTCCCCTCACCTCCACCCATCCATCAATTCATCCATAAGTCCAGTCAACAAATATTTACAAAATTCTCACTATTCCCATTCCCTACTGAGCCTTGGGGACTCGGCAGTTAGTGAGACATTGAGTGTCCTGTCCTCAGGTGGTTCACATTTTAGGGGAGGGACACCAAGCTGAGACAGCACTGGATTTGAAATCATGGTGATGAACAGGCGAGGTAACACCAAGTTCAGTCCAGGCTCCACCACTCCCTGCCTGTGTGACCTGGGGCAAGTGTCTCAACATCTCTGGACCTCAGTTGCCTCATCTCTAAAATGAGGATCAGAACAGTCACACCTCATGAGGCCATTGTGATGGTTAGATGAGCCAGTACATGTGCAGAGCATAGAACAGTGCTTGGCATGGAGTTGCTGCTGCTACTACAGTTATTGTCATTATTTTCATGAAGATATTTTATATAGAGTGGTCAAGAAAATCGTGACAGTTTCCACCCCCTTCCTCAACTCCAGGGACAAACCCTACCTATTTTATTTCAACATTGTGAAGTGTGCCAGCCCCCTGGTCCTGCTGGAATTCCAGTGTCCCACCCCACAGGTAACCTGTTCCCTCCCTTCCCCCTTGCCTGCCTTCCCTTTCCATTACCAGGTCTCTCTTCATCCTGTAGTACCGGCTTCTTCCCCAGCCCTTCTGCTCTCCCTGGTGAACACGGGGTGGAATCTCTCTTCTGATCCCCATCCAACCTCTTTCTTCTGCCCTCCAGATCTGCGTGGAGAAATGCCCCGACCGCTACCTCACCTACCTGAACGCCCGTGCCTCCCCTGATTTTGGGTACTACAAGCAGTTCTGTGTGCCTGGCTTCCAGAATAACAAGGTGAGCGGGAGGCTGCCCTGGTCCAGGCAGGGGCATGTGGGAGGGCATCAGCCTGGGGATTAATCCCCTCCCTCTCTTTTGGTGGAGGAGCCCTGGTGGCACAATGGTTAAAGTCCTTGGCTGCTAACTGAAAGGTCGACGTTCGAACCCACCAGCTGCTCCACAGGAGAAAGGTGTAGCAGTCTGCTTCTGTAAAGATGACAGCCTTGGAAACCCTATGGGGCAGTTCTTCTCTGTCCTGTAGGGTTGCTGTGAGTCCGCTGGTAACGAGTTTTGTTTTATTTTATTTTTTCCCTCTTGGCAGGGTGTGGCCGAGGTGCTTCGGGATGGTGACTGCCCTGCCGTCATCACCCCCAGCAAGCCTCGTGAGTCAGGGGGTCCCATGCGTTCGGTGGGGCTTGAGGAGGCGTTGCAGGGGTTCAGCCTCACTGGTCCCATCCCCTGCTCCCTCTAGTGGCCCAACGATGCTTCCCAGCCATCCATGCCCACAAGGGGGTGCTCATGGTGGGCAATGAGACGACCTACGAGGATGGTCATGGCCATCGGAAAAACATCACAGATCTGGTGGAGGGCGCCAAGTGAGCATTGCCACCCACCACACCAGGGTTGTGCTCTCCTGGGCGGGACAGGGCGTCCCCTAGGGCTGGCCCGATCGTGGAGCTGGGTCTGACCTGAGCCTTGTCTGCCTTCCCCCAGGAAGGCCAATGGGATCCTGGAGGCACGGCAGCTGGCCATGCGGATCTTTGAGGATTATACTGTCTCCTGGTACTGGATTGTCATGTAAGTCGGGAAGGAAGGCATCCTTCTCCGTGTTGCCCCGTCTGAGGCTGGTGAGGGGGGAGGTCTACTTACACCCCCATTTTTATCCCCCAGAGGCCTGGTCATTGCCATGGTAATGAGCCTCCTGTTCATCGTCCTGCTCCGCTTCCTGGCTGGCATTATGGTCTGGGTGATGATCATCATGGTGATTCTGGTTCTGGGCTATGGTGAGTCTCCCTCTCCTTGCCCTCTCTGTGCCCAGGGTCTGCAAAATGCCCATGACTTTTGACCTGGCAGTGGCCCATCAAGAATTTTATCCTAAGTCACCAGGTATTCTCCATCTTTTACTCGGAGTATTTGTAAAGATGTTCATCTCAGTGTTGTTTATAAGAGCAGACACTTGGAAACAACCTCAGTACCCACTGATGGAGGATGGGTTAAATCAGCACCAGTGTAGGCCTGCAGTGAGGCTCTTTGTAGCCTTCTAAACCACGGCCTGAATCTGTATTTTGTTGACAGCAAAAGGCATTCTCAAGCTGGCCGCTTAGCACAGTGGTTAAGGATACACATTCTGGCACAAGAAAACCAGGGTTTGAATCCTGGCTCTGCCACTTCCTAGCTTTGACCTTGGGCAAGTGACTCAACCTCCCTGTGCCTCAATTTCTTCCTCTATAAAATGCAGATAATTAGTATTTACTGCTTGGAAGGCTTGGTTGGGAGGCTCCATGTGAATGAGCTAGTGTGAGGATGAGAGAGTGGGAGGACCCTGTTTAGCTCAGGCCTGTGGAACCGAGAGACTGTGCTTAAAACACAGGACTTAATACTTTGATTGTTCATTTAAACTTTCCAGGAGGAAAAAAAACCTGCTATGCAACAAAATCGGAGAGCATAGAGACCAAAATATTTATGTTAATAGTGGTTTCTGACTAGGGGCTGGCATTTTGGGTGACTTGATTGGTTTTCTTCTTTATAAGTATTTTGTAATTTTATTCTGCACAGAGCCACGGGGAATGCTAAAAATCCCTAATGCTTCCCCACTGAAGGCCAACACGCATGCCCCCCACATCAGGAATCATTGTCAAGGGTAGCAAGGGGGTCAGAGGGCGGCCTCAGGCCGCAGCATCTTGACATGTACAGTTGATTCTCATTATTCAGGGTAGTTATGTTCTGTAACGTACTTTGGACACGTTATCAGGAGGGATCAGTCTGTGGAGAAGGGAATCATGCTTAGTAAGGTAGAGGGTCAGCGAAAAAGAGGAAGACCCTCAATGAGATGGACTGACACAGTGGCTGCAACAGTGGGCTCAAACATAGTAACGACTGTGAGGATGGTGCAGGACCGGGCAGCGTTTTGTTCTGTTGTACAAGGGTCGCTATGAGTCGGAACCGACTCAATGGCACCTGACAACAACATGTTCTGAAATCTCCAGGAACACTGAATTAGCAAATACTGAACCATTGCTTCTAGGGGACTGTCTCAGTTAACTTAGAGCTGCTGTAACAAAAAATACACAAGTGGGTGGCTTTCAAAAACAGGAGTTTCTTTTCTCACAGTTCAGGAGGCTAGAAGTCTGAATTCAGGGTGAGGTTCTAAGGAGAGGGCCTTGCTTGTCAGTAGTTCTGGGAGTGCCTTGGCATCTGTCTTCCCTCTGTGTATATCTCTGTGTCTGTTCCACTCTTTTTCTCAATTCAACAGTGATTAGGTTTAGGAACCACCCTACTCTGGTATAACATCACCAACATAACAAAAGAAAACCCCTGTTTGCAAACCAGGTCATATTTATAGGCACAAGGATTAGAATTTCAACACATATTTTAGAGGGACATAATGCAGTCCTTAACAGTGAAATTACAGGGTTAGGTTCCTGCAAGCCTCTGATCACATTTTCATCAACCAATAATACATAACCTTGTTTTAAGTGTGTTTTTGTTTCAAGGCACCTTATTGAATATATGCTGTTGATTCATTAGCGTTGAACTCACAGCCAACAGCACTATAGTTCCGGCCTAGATGAAGCTCATGTAACCTGTGTATTTTCATCACAGGCTTCTTGCACTTCGAATACTAGAGAACACTTCAGCACTATACCTGGAGCCATTTTAAACAGCAAAAATCACCAGCAGAAAGCACAAAAATGCAGAAAAACTAGCACAAAATAGACTGAAAAGGCCACTTGTTTACAGTCTTGAGAGCTGAAACAAGAAAGCAGACTGTGGCCTTGTTTGACCTCAGCTCGTAACACGCATGTTGAGTAACTCAAATTTTTCACAACTTTGTGTGTGTCCACGAATGATGTAAAAATGCCATGAGTACTGATTCAGAGATTAAAAATTAATTGTAGTGAGTAGGCGAATTTGCAAATACAGAATCTGTGAATGACGATCAACTGTATTACTGAGTACCTACTGTGTCCTGGCCATTTTTGAGGCCCTAGTCTTATAGCAATGAACAAATCAGGACAAATCCTTGCTGTCTTAGAGCTTATATTCCTGAGGGGCATGGGGTAAATGGACAAGAAACAAATAAACCAGAAAAATCACTAGGACTTTGAAGCAGGGAAGGGGGTAAGAATACAAAGGGTGGAAGCGTATGGTTCTAAGTGAGGATCCCGGGGCCTCAGCAAAGTTACATGAGAAGGTGACATTTGAGCAGAGACTAAGGATGTGAGAGATCCAGCCATGGGGAGAGAATGTATCAGGCAGAGAGAACACGTGCAAAGGCCCTGAGGCAGGAGTAAGCCACAGCGGCACCCTTTCCGCAAACTTTGGTTTTTGCTTCTATAAAATGGGAGTGGTTGTACTTACTTTAGAAGGATCCCTGGTGGTACAGTGGTTAAGTGCTTGGCTGCTCACCAAAAGGTCGGCGATTTGAACCCACCAGCTGCTCCGCAGGAGAACGAGTTGGCAGTCTGCTTCCATAAAGAGCACAGCCTTTGGAACGCTATAGAGGAGTTCTACTCTGTCCTGTAGGGTTGCTATGAGTCTGAATCAACTTGACGGAAACAGGTTTTTGGGGTTTGGTATCTACTTTGCAAGGTTGGGAGAGGAGCTGGTGGGCTGAGGTCAGTCTTCGCATTGTGGTCCCTGTGCACAGGAATATTCCACTGCTACATGGAGTACTCCCGACTGCGTGGTGAGGCTGGCTCTGATGTCTCCCTCATGGACCTCGGCTTCCAAACGGACTTCCGTGTGTATCTGCACTTGCGGCAGACCTGGATGGCCTTCAGTGAGTCTGCCCACCCGGAGGCCTGAAAGGGAGTGGGAGAGCCTAGGAGAATAGCAGGCTCAGCCACCCTCTACCCTCTGCAGTGATCATTCTGAGCATCCTTGAGGTCATTATCATCTTGCTGCTCATCTTTCTACGGAAGAGAATTCTCATCGCCATCGCGCTCATCAAGGAAGCCAGCAGGTGGGGGCCAGGGGGCTGGGGGCCTGGTTGGGGTGATCCCCAGGCCTGCTTGGGCCCTGACGCCTGTGTTTCTGCACCTCCTCAGGGCTGTGGGATATGTCATGTGCTCCATGCTGTTCCCACTGGTCACCTTCTTCCTGTTGTGTCTTTGCATCGCCTACTGGGCCAGCACTGCCGTGTATCCACCACCAGACCCCTGGCATGGCTAGGGGCCAGACTTGCCTGGAAGTGGCCCACAGTTTGGGGACAGCACCAGAACCTGGTTGGGGAATGGATCCTTTCCCCACATGCCCCTGGGGTCCCTAATCCCTGACCTTGGGTTCCTTAATGAGCTTCCAGCTTCCTATCTACTTCCAACGAAGCTGTCTACAAGATCTTTAATGACACTGCCTGCCCAGTTGCTGGGAGAACCTGCAACCCTGAGGTGGGTGTCCATGGGTGAGAGGGACATTGCCCCAGCAGCCCCCAGACAATTTTAAACTTCTCACCCCCACTTAGACATCATTAGACAAACAGTTGGTGCCTGTTGTATGCCTTGTGCTGGATGTTGGGGGCATGGAGAGGAAGAGACCCCAACACTGGCCCCAGCGACTTCTCAGGGCAAGATGGCTTCCTTTCTGCAACTTGGCAGCCTTTCCCAACCTGGGTGCTGAACCACCCATCTTTTTTCCCTTTGACTTCATTTCTGGCCCCGACACCCCTCTCTTGGCCCCTACAATGGCCAGTCCTTGCTTCTAGAACTCCTTCCTTGCCTTCACAGCCCCCAGCCTGACCTCACAACTCCTGTGCTGATCCTCTGGCCCTCACGTTGATCTCTGGCCCCCCCGTCCTGCACACGTGGCCACCCCACTGACTCATGACCCCAGCCTGATTCCCAAGATAGCTTCTCCTACTTCAAGGACCCCAAAGTGATCACTGGTCTTACCTCTAGAACCTCTTTCACAAGTGTCTATCCTGAACCCCCAATTCCTTAATTCTCTGGCCTTTGTACTGATTCCCATGACTCCTCTTTTACTCATGGTTTGCCTGACCCCCAGCCTGCTGCCTAGTGGTTAAACGCTTGGCTGCTAACTGAAAGGTCAGCAGTTTGAACTCTCTAGCCCCTCTGTAGGAGAAAGATATGGCAGTCTGCTTCCCTAAAGATTACAGTTTTGGAAACCCTATAGGGCAGTTCTACTCTGTCCTGTAGGGTCAGTATGAGTCAGAATCCACTCGACTTCACTGAGGTTCTGTGTCTCCCACAGACTTTCCCCTCCTCTAATGAATCCCAGCTGTGCCCAGGTGCCCGCTGCCAGTTCGCCTTCTATGGTGGTGAGTCTGGCTACCACCGGGCGCTGCTGGGCCTGCAGATCTTCAATGCCTTCATGTTCTTCTGGCTGGCCAACTTCGTGCTGGCGCTGGGCCAGGTCACGCTGGCTGGGGCCTTCGCCTCCTACTATTGGGCTCTGCGCAAGCCCGACGACCTGCCTGCCTTCCCGCTCTTCTCCGCCTTCGGCCGGGCGCTCCGGTGAGGTTGCCGATGACTCGGGGTTGGGGGTGCAGTGTGGGAAGGCCTGACTGGGTCACTGACCACCCCCTGTGCATGCAGGTACCACACAGGCTCGCTGGCCTTTGGGGCCCTCATTCTAGCCATTGTGCAGATCATCCGAGTGATTCTTGAGTACTTGGACCACCGCCTGAAAGGTGAGGCCCACTAGCCACTGGCATTGGCTCCCATTGTGGGAGGCGGGGCTAAGGGGCAGACCAGGATTAGTTCTTTGGCCGCTGGCGCAGAGGAGGGTAGGCTGGGATTGGTTTTCGTTTGGGTTGGGGGGCGGGGTCAAGGTGAGAGGGTAGTGATTGGTTTCTCCCTATGGGGGGTGGGGCTAAGGGTGACTGATTTCTGCAATGAAAGAGCCCTGAGAGCCCCCAACCCATAGAATGTTTACCTTTGAGGGGGTGGGGCCAAAAGGCCTGGGCCTTTTAGTTCCTGCTAGAAAGTTGGGCTGGGATTTGTTGGTGCTTGGGAGGGTGTGGCACAGTGGTTAAGAGTTCAGCAGCTAACCAAAAGGTCAGTAGTTCAAATCCACCAGCCGCTCCTTGGGAACTCTATGGGGCAGTTCTACTCTGCCCTATAGAGTTGCTATGAGTAGAAATCCACTCTACAGCATCGGGTTGGGAGGGTGTGGCTAAAACTGGTTCCGTATTTGGAGAGGAGAGCCTGTGGTGCTGGGAGTAGCTTTGTTTTGGGGCAGGGCTAAGAAGGTGGCAAGGATTAGTTTCCTCCTGGGAGGCGGGGCCAGGGAGCAGTGTGGGTCATGATTGGTTCCTGTATGAGAGGCTGGGCTGAAAGGCCTGGAGGGAGCGTCCTCGTTGTGGGGCGGGGCTGAGGGGCCTGCCCCTGGCTGGTTCCTGCCTGGGTGTGGGGCAGGGCCCCAGGGGTCCTGGATTTTTTCTCCTCTTCTAGTCTTTGGAAGTCCTAGACTGTGGCAGGCCCCTGGCTGACTGAGAGGTGAAATTCCTACCAGGCTGGGTGGGTCCTCTCTCACCTCTGCATCCCTCCCTCCTCTCTCAGCTGCACAGAACAAGTTTGCCAAGTTCGTCATGACCTGTCTCAAATGCTGCTTCTGGTGCCTGGAGAAGTTCATCAAATTTCTCAACAGGAACGCCTACATCATGGTGAGTGGAGCTGGGACCCCCAGTGCAGCTTGCAGCCTCCTGTTGGGTGGGCAGAGCCCCCAGCCCCACCCAGTGGGCCTGATCTTGCCCTCCCACCCCCTGCCGCAGATCGCCATCTACGGCACCAACTTCTGCACCTCAGCCAGGAACGCCTTCTTCCTGCTCATGAGAAACATCATCAGGTCAGGAAGATGCCTTTCTCTTGATCCCTCCCTCCTCTTCTTCCTCCCTTTCTCCTCCCTCCCTCCCTTTCTCCCTGAGCCAGCATTCACACCTGTCCCTCACTGTCCCCCTGCAGAGTGGCTGTCCTGGACAAAGTGACTGACTTTCTCTTCCTGTTGGGCAAACTTCTGGTCGTGGGTAGTGTGGGTGAGTGTGGCACACCCAGGGTGTGGGAGCCTGTTGGGGGTGACCCACGAGCTACTCTTGGGCCCCCACATCTCCTCCTTCTGTGATGGCCATCTGCTCCTCCGTTTTTTGGGAGGGTTACTTCCTTTAGGCAGAACCCTCAACCATCCTGGTTTCTTCCCACTCTCCAGGGATCCTGGCCTTCTTCTTCTTCACCCACCGTATCAGAATCGTCCAGGACACAGCACCGCCCCTCAATTATTACTGGGTCCCTATACTGGTATGGGCCTTTGGCATGGGTGGGGACCCAGGGAGAAGGAGATATTGGGACTTGCTTGACCTTCTTGACTGGACAGATGTGGATGGGGGTCAGAGGTGGTGGATTGATTATTTATTCTGTCCGCAAACATTTTTTGAGCACTTGGAGTCCCTGGCAGGTGCAAATGTTAACACGCTCAGCTGCTAACTCAAAGGTTGGAGGTTTGAGTCCACCCAGAAGTGCCTGGGAAGAAAGACTTGGTGATCTGCTTCCAAGAAGCAGCCATTGAAAACCCACTGGAGCACAGTTCAGTTCTGACACTCACGGGGTCGCCGTGAGTCACAGTCAACTTGATGGCATCTGGTTTTTTGGTTTCTGCGTCCCAGGTGCTGGGGAGAGGGCTTCCTCCAGGGGCTTACAGTTTAGCGGGAAACAGACATTAATCAGATAAAAGCATTGGTGAATGTGTGATTGCAAATTGGTCACGGTCGCAGGGGTGAGTTCCGGGAACTGTTATACATGTTAGGAGCCCTGGTGGTGCAATGGTTAAAGAGCTCGGCGGCTAACTGAAAGGTGGGTGGTTCGAACCCCCCAGCTGCTCCGTGAGTAAAAGATGCGGCAGTCTGCTTCCATAAAGATCACAGCCTTGGAAACCCCATGGGGCAGCTCTCCTCTGTGCTATTGAGTGCTATGAGTTGGAATCGACTTGATGGTGATGGGTTTTTTTGGGTTAGACACGTGGTAGAGGAACTAAGCCAGCCTCGGCGTGCAGGCGACTTCACTGTGGAAGTGATCTTGGAGCTGAGGGCTGAAGCAGACGGAGGCAGTATCGAGGCAGAGGGAGCAGCAAGTACAGAGGCCCTGAAGTGGGACTGTGCAGGACAGTGTGACTGGTGTGGAGCGAGTGAGGAGCCTAGATAAGGGCAGGGAGGTGACAGGGCTGTGGAGGGGTTGGGTATTCACCCTGAAAGCAGTACAGTATTTGGCTGCAGGCCCTGGATCCTGGTGACCTAGATTTTTATCTAAGTTTGTCTGTTTGCCAGTCATAAGAGGAGTAACTTTGGGCAAGTTAGTTAATCTCTTTCGGGGCCACTTACTTCAGTCCACAAATGTTTATTAGGCACCAGCCAAGGCCCTGGGAGTCTCTAAATTGCTAGAGATGCAGCAGTAAACAAGACAGACACAGTCTAACGGGGATGTGGGCATTAAACGTGTAATGCCCTAAACTCAGCTTGTTGCTATCAAGTCAAATCCAACTCATTGCGACCCTATAGGACAGAGTAGAACTGCCCTATAGGGTTTCCAAGGCTGTACATCTTTATGGAAGCAAACTGCTATATCTTTCTTCTGTGGTGCAGCTGGTGGGTTCGAACCACCCACCTTTCGGTTAGCAGCTGAGTGCTTAACCACTGCACCACCAGGGCTCCTCCTGTAATGCCCTAAACATGAATAAAATTGCAACCAGGGGACGGTTTTGGAGGAGGGACGCACAGTGCTAAGAGGGCATAAAACAAGGACCTGACTGGTCTAGATGTCAGAGACAGCTTCGTGAAGGAGGTGGGACCTGAGGAGTGGAGGTTTGAGCTGGAAGCAGAGGAACAAGGAGGCATAGACTCAGCTAAGTCAGGGCAACAGCACATGCAAAGGCCCTGGGGTGAAAGAGAGCAAGGGGTGTGGTGTGGACAGTGGGGCCCTGCTGACAGGGGTGAGGAGTTACGATGCTATTCCAATTGCCAGTGGGGTCACGGGAGTGCTGTCAGCAGGAGAGTGGCATGATCTGGCCGGGGGGGGGGATGTGGTGGGTGAGGACCATGCTGGGCAGGTGCTGTGGCTGAAGCAGTTCTTTTCTCTTTGGCCAGACGGTGATCGTCGGCTCGTACTTGATTGCCCACGGCTTCTTCAGTGTCTATGGGATGTGTGTGGACACGCTGTTCCTCTGCTTCTGTAAGTGACCCCTTATTCTGACCATTGCTGGGCCCTGACTCCCTCTCCCCTCTGGGCTTAGCATCTCCCCTCAGGCAGGGGCCACATATTCACTGCCCTTTGCCCTCAGCTTCCCTGGGGACTGACATGCCTTCCCGGCTTCCTTCCTCTGCTGGCAACTGCTCCATCCTATTGTCCACGCCCCAGGCTGTGTCTGGAACACTCTGCCCCGGGCCCTGGCTTTGGAGTTTCTGGCTTTGTTGGGGGGATATGTGGCTGCCACTAACTCTGGTCTCTCCATCTGTCTGTTTTTTGTTTTTTTTTTCCTTTTCTCCTCTCCTCCATGCCTGCTGGCTTCCCCATTCTCCCCCTGCCTCCTTTTTCCCTTCCTTCTTGACCACCCCATTTCCCCTGGCCGGTTCCTGGGGGGAGCCCAGGTGAGGACCTGGAAAGGAATGACGGCTCTCAGGAGCGACCCTACTTCATGTCGCCTGAGCTGAGAGACATCCTGTTGAAGGGGAGTGCAGAGGAGGGGAAGCGGGAGGAAGTCGCGTGAAGAAAGGCTGCTTGGGCCTTGCGTTCCCAGGACTGGGGGCCAGGCAGGCCTCTTCATTTCCTTGCTGTAGACCGGGATGCATGGGGGGGCTGCCTCGCCCGGGAGTGTGGGGAGCGTGTGTACGTCCTGTTCCCGAGCCTTCCACAGTCCACCCCTTTCCAGTCCTCGTGTGTCTTGCTTCCTAACCCTCTGAGGCTTCTCTGTGGCCCTCATTCGCCCACCCCGTCCCGGAGGCCCCTGCCCGTGGGCTCCCCATCACACCATCTGCTCTGGGGCCTCTCTCTGCAGTGGAGGACCTGGAGCGGAATGATGGCTCGGCCGAGAGGCCTTACTTCATGTCTTCCAACCTCAAGAAGCTTTTGAACAAGACTAACAAGAAGTCGACAGAGTCGTAAAGGCCTCCACCCTCCCCCACCTCTCTGGAAGCCTCACACTGGGTGCTCTGCCCCTGGGTCACTACCCCCAGCCCCACTGGGCTTACCCGAGGGCCTATCACTGCCCTCCCTCCACATCCAGTTACCACCCCCAAAAAAAACCAATTGCCGTTGAGTCGATTCCAACTCATAGCGACCCTATAGGACAGAATAGAAGTGGCCCATAGGGTTTCCGAGGAGCAGATGGTGGATTTGAACTGCTGACCTTTTGGTTAGCCAGCTATAGCTCTCATCCATTGCACCACCAGGGCTCCAGTTACCACCAGTTTCCGGAAACTTGGAGGATTTGGAGTATCTTCTCCTTATGCCTAGGGGCAGTCAGTGTTTTTACAAAAGCCCCCTAGACTGAGAAATGAGTCACTCCAGCCCCCACCGGCCCAGACAGGGAGCTGTCAGGTGGGGCCTCTCAGTGTCTAGGCTCTGATGGGCCTGGCCTCAGGGGCTTGCACCTGCTTCCTCCCCATCTTATGGCCCATGGTGGTGTCTCAGGAGTGGCAGGCTGCAGGGAGCTGGAGCTTTCTACTCCCTGGATCTCTCCCCTAACCCTCTGGTCTGGCCAGGACCCAACCCCTTTCCTGTTGTGGAACAACTGGCTCAAGGGCCGCCAGAAGCATTTCTTTATGATTTTTTCAACCTCGACATACATTAAAGGGTCTGTTAGTTGTTTTTTTTTTTGTCTCAACAGCTCAGACGGGGCCCCTGAGGAGTGCCTTCCTTTGTATGCCTCTTAGTGGGTGTGGCTGGGGAGGGGATGTACGTGTAAGAGGTGAGGTGTCTCTGGTGTGTGAGGCAGCAGCAGGGGCTGTGGTGAGGAGAGAAGACTTAGTGAGACTGTTGGGGGAGGGGCACCTGGACAGAGGCCTGTGTGGACAGACCGGAGCAGGCGGGGAGGAGGAGAAGGCTAATGGCTTCTTAATGGAAACCTGATGGATGGAGGAGCTGGGCCGAATTTCTCCCCACGTCCTCTGCCAGTTACTGACACGGCTCTCTTTGTAAGAGAAAAAAGAAACTGAAATCTACCCAAGGGGCGATTTCGGGTGTGCCTTGGGAGATCCTGGGCAAACCGGGCCCTCTGCCCAGTCACCTCACCTTGAGGATCCTTTTGCCAAATGTGTTGAACTCAGGGGACCTGGTTTCCCTGTTCCCCCTTTGCCATTTCCCAAGATTCCCCCAACTTCTCGTCTTGGCTCATAAGCACTGTCCATGGATCCCAGAGGGAGAATTCCCAGTCCGGGGTCTCCCGTTTCCTGTGCCTGTCCCAGCCCCCACTCACACCCCCCATTCAGCCTGCACACCCCCGCGTGTAATTGCATTCCAACCACTAATAAAGTGCCTATTGTACAGACTCCAGGCCTGGCGAGTTTGTTGGGGGAGTGGGAGGCCGGAAGAGGAACCCCAGCTTTGACTGCCCTGGGATTCTCTGAGCTGGGGTGACTCTCCCAGCTGGAGGCGGAGGCAGGAAGCCCACTGTCTGCCGGCCCAGGCCTCCACCTGAATTCCATCATTCAGGCAGCTCAGGTTTTGCCTGCAGGCGCCTGGCACACAAATGCCCCTTATTGAGCTCTGATCCCTGGAGTCCAGAAGACAGCAGTGCCTGTTTACTTCCCGCCCACATGGGCCTGGACACATGCCCCGGAGGCCTGCTTTCTCCAGGGGGCCCAGGCGCCTGAAGCTGCACAGTCTGGCCTAACCGCTTTCATCTGGCAAAGCTGCAAAGACCAGCTTGAAGGACACGCCCCACTGCCTGGAGGTTCGCTACTGCCTCCTGGTGCCAGCTCTCTACAACTGCACCTCCAGGCCATCTATAACTGCTCCCTCCCCAGGAATTTTTTCTTCACTAGCCACCTTCTTTCGAGTATTCCCTATCTCCTGCGCACAACGCCCCACTGCTGTTAACTACCCTCATTTTGCCTATGATAAAAGAAGGCTGAGAGATTTGGCACCATGTCTAGAGGCTGCCCTGCAGGCAAGAAGCAAATAAGGCATTTGCCCCAGGCCTCCCTGACTCCAAAGCCCTCACCTCTGCCCTGTACTGACTCTGGAGTCCCTTTTCTCGTCTATCTTGCGTTTCTAGTCTTTTCCTTACTCCCAGCCCCTTTAGACCTGCTCCCAAAATACAGCGAAACCTGTGAGAGCCTGAACACTGCTGAGACTGCCTTTTTTTCCAGGTCTCGCAAATTTTCCGCCTTTGGCAGGGTACAGTCTGACCACTTTTTTGTCACTATTAGTGGAAAATATTTGAGCTTCCTGTAACAGGTTTCCACCTTACACAGGTTCCGGCTTTCACAGGTTTTACAGTAGCTCCTAAGCCCGCCCACTTATCACCATAGTTTCACTTGGATCCAGCCCCATCATCACTCATTTGGACCAGTGCAGTGGTCTCCTCCCTGGTCCCCTGGCTCCCTGCTCGCTTTGCACACCCTGTCCTCCCCACAGCCACCAGAGCAGCCTGTGAAAACCTGAACCAGGTCCCATCCCTTCTCTGCCCAGAACCTTCAGTGGCTCCCATCTCATTCTGGGTGAAAGCCATAAGGCCCTGCACAACCTGCCCATCACCTCTCCACACTCTCACCTCCCCCCACTTTACTCCAGCCACGCTGGCTCCAGGGCTTGAGCATAAAATGCTGTCCACCTGGTTCCTGCTTTCAGCTCAGAGATCACCTCCTCAGGGAAGCCTTCCCTACCTCCCTGAAGCTGGCCTCTCAGTGATGACCACGTCAAGCTGCTCATTTTCCTCAGCGCGTACCACAATCTGTAAGCAAGTAACTTATTTGTACTTTCATTTACTGAATGTCAGTCTCCCCGACCAGAATATCAGCTCAAAGAGGACGCAGATCTTCCTCGTTTACCACCTTATCCCAGCATGGGCCAGAGTGCCTGGTACCCAGTAGGCACTCAGCAGCCACGTAAAGAACTTAGTACAGTGCCTGGCACAGCGAAATGTGAAGTCAGTGTTAGCAATCTAAGTTTCTTTTTAAGGAGCTATGGTGGCATAATGGTTAAGCACTCAGCTGCTAACCGAACTGTCAAGAGGTTTCAACCTATTAGTGGCTCTGCAGGAGAAAAGACTTAGCAATGTGCTCCCGTAAAGATTACAGCCTTGGAAACTCTATGGAGCGGTTTTATTCTGTCCTATATGGTCGCTGTGGGTAGTAATCGACTCGACAGTGCACAACAAGTTCTTGCAGTCCCTGGGTGGTGCAAAGAGTGAATATGCTCGGCTACTAACCAAAAGGGTGGAGGTTCAAGTCCACCCAGAGGCGCCTTGGCAGAAAGGCCTGGTGATCTATTTCCAAAAAATCAGCCATTGGAAACCCTGTGGAACGCATTCTACTCTGACACACATGGGGTGGCCATAAGTCAGAATCAACTCAACAGCAACTGGTTGAAGTTGTTTTTATGTACTTTTGAAGCCCTCTGGCTGGTGTGTGCAAAGATGTATAACCCAAGTGTAGAGGCAGGGAGACCAGTGCACTGGTCCAGGCAAATGCTGATGATGGACTGGACTTGGATGGTCATGATGAAGGTAATGAAAAAGGTCCAGATTTGGGGTAGAATTTGAAGATGGAGCTGACATGATTGAGTATATGTGGAATGTGAGAGAACAAGAGGAGCCGAAGAAGCAAGGGAAAGCATGGCTGGGAGGGGGAAAGCCAGGCGAGGGAGCAATCTCACCTCCTTCCTGCAGGGGGCATTTGGAGCCTGATCCACAGGGAGCTCTGGAGCATGAGTTCGACCTCTGAGTTGTCCTGCACTGGTGTCTTAGTTATCTAGTGTTGCTATAACAGAAATACCACAAGGGGGTGCTTTAAGGAACAGAAATTCATTTTTTCACACTTTAGGAGGCTAGAAGTCCAAATTCAGGGCACCGGCTCTAGGGGAAGGCTTTCTCTCTCTCTCTGTCCACTCTGAGGGAAGGGCCTTTGCAAGTACATGGCCTGGCATCTATCCCCCTCTATCTCTGTTTGCTTGCTTGTTGGCCAACTAGCTTAATCTGCTCTTTCATATCTCAGAAGAGATTGATTTAAGACACACCCTACACTAATACTACGCTCTTTTACTTCATTATTTCTTCTCTTCGCTTCAGCTACTCTATGTTTAAGAGCAAACTTCAGTCTCTTCTGACATCCATTTTGGTCTTTTCTTTCTTTCCTGTCTTTTTAATGACCTCTTGATTTCTTCATGAATGATGTCCTTGGTGTCATCCCACAGCTCATCTGGTCTTTTGTCATTAGTGTTCAATGCAACAAATCTATTCTTGAGATGGTCTCTAAATTCAGGTGGGATATACTCAAGGTCACACTTTGGCTCTAGTGGACTTGTTTTAATTTTTTTCAGCTTCAACTTGAAGATGGATAGGAGCAAATGATGATCTGTTCCACAGTCTGCCCCTGGCCTTGTTCTGAATGATGATATTGAGCTTCTCCATCGTCTCGTTGCACAGATGTAGTCAATTTGATTCCTGTGTTTTCCATCCGGCGAGGTTGTCATCTATGTTGTTGAAAAAAGATATTTGCAATTAATAAGTAGTTCATCTCGCAAAATTCTATCATGCAATCCCTGGCATCACTTCTATCACCAAGGCCTTATTTTCCAACTACCGATCCTTCTTTGTTTGCAACTCTTGAATTCCAGTCACCAGTGATTATCAGTTCTCCTTGACTGCATGTTTAATCGATTTCAGACTGCAGAAGTTGGTAAAAATATTCAATTTCTTCATCTTTGGCTTTACTGGTTGGTGAATAAATTTGAATAATAGTTGTAATAACTGATCTCCCTTACAGGCGTATGGATATTATTTTATCACTGATAGCGTTGTACTTCAGGATACATCTTGAAATGTTCTTTTTGACAATGATATGCCATTTCTCTTCAATTTGTCATTCCCAGCATAGACCATATGATTGTCTGATTCAAAATGGCCAATACCAGTCCATTTCAGCTCACTAATGCCTAGGATATCAATCTTTATGCATTCCATTTCATTTTTGATGACTTCCAATTTTCCTTGATTTCATAATTCATACATTCCTTGTTCCAATTATTAATGGATGTTTGCAGCTGTTTCTTTTCATTTTAAGCTGTGCAAATGAAGGTCCTGAAAACTTTATTCTTTCCACAGCATTAAAGTTAACTCTACTTTGAGGAGGCAGCTCTTCCCCAGTCATATTTTGAGGAAAAGAAAGACCCTCAATGAGACGGATTGACACAGTGACCGCAACAGTGGGCTCAAACATAGCATGACTGAGAGAATGGCACAGGACTGGGCAACATTTCGTTCCGTTGTACATAGGGTCGCTACGAGTTGGAACCAACTGGATGGCACCTAACAAAAACAACACTAATACTGCCTCATTAGCATAACAAAGAAAGCCCATTCCCAAATGAGATTATAACCACAGGTATGTTGTTGTTGTTAGGTGCCATTGAGTCAGTGCCTACTCATAGCTATCCTGTGTACAACAGAATGACACACTGCCCGGTCCTGCACCATCCTCACAATCGTTGCTATGTTTGATCCCATTCTTGCAGCCACTGTGTCAGTCCATCTCTTCGAGGGTCTTCCTCTTTTTCACTGACCCTCTACCCGACCAAGCATGATATCCTTTTCTAGGGACTGGTCCCTCCTGATAACGTGTCCAAAGTACTCAAGACAAAGTCTTACCATTCTCGCTTCCAAGAAGCACTCTGGCTGTACTTCTTCCAAGGCAGACTTGTTTCTTCTTCCGGCAGTTCATATTGTTGTCATTGTTAGGTGCCCTCGAGTCAGTTCCGACTCATAGAGATCCTATGTACAACAGAATGAAACACTGCACAGTCCTTCGCCATCCTCACAATCATTGCTATGTTTGAGCCCATTGTTGCAGCCACTGTGTCAATCCATCTCGTTGAGGGTCTTCCTCTTTTTTGCTGACCCTCTACTTTACCAAACATGATGTCCTTCTCCAGTTACTGATCCCTCCTGACAACATGTCCAAAGTATATAAGACGTAGTCTCGCCATCCTTGCTTCTATGGAGCATTCTGGTTGTACTTCTTCATTCTTTTGGCAGTCCATGGTATGTATATTCAATATTCTTTGCCAACACCATAATTCCAAAGGCATCAATTCTTCTTTGGTCTTCCTTATTCATTGTCCTGCGTTCTCATGCATACGAGGGGATTGCAAATATCATGGCTTGGGTCAGGCTCACTTTAGTCCTCAAAGTAACATCTTTGCTTTTTAATACTTTAAAGAGGTCTTTTGCAACAGATTTGCCTGATGCAATAAGTCATTTGATTTCTTGACTGCTGCTTCCATGGGTGTTGACTGTGGATCTAAGTAAAATGAAATCCT